TCACGAGGAGACCGATCGATGCTCAAACATGAATAAGCAGCCAAGTGTTTGATTTGCGGTACGGGAAATGCACATGGCTAATGGGCGTGAGTTTTGGCTGAGGATGATCAGTTACTAAGAAGACCGTCTTCACAAATTTTCACCTTAAAAAGAGGAGCCTAGGTGGTACTTGCTTTACAAACTACCACACTGGACATAAATACGAATGTTGAAGCTGGGCTCAAAATAATGAATGGATTGAGCTGGCATTTGGTGGAGGATGGTTATTTGGGCATAGCAAAGCACTGTAGAAAATGGATACCATTTGTACATGCCAAAGTGGTACTTCCTTCACAAAGTGCTGCTCTGAACAGAATAGGAAGATGAATATTTTCGAATTATTTTTGAACTAGGCAAGGAATGTTTTTACATATTTGACGAAGATATGACCCAAAGAATTTATGAGATTTTTTTGGAAAATTTTGGGAATGACAGAAATATAGGTTGCTTCACAACCTAGGGCAAAAACTGTCACATGGACATGACACATAGGCAAAACTGATGAGGTGGCGCCTAGTCATATCAATCCACCACAATTTACAAGGCTATGACCATCTATATTTGTCGTTAACAACTAGAAATAAGGCGGCGGACTAGCGATGTTTGCTTTATGACCTTTTCGTGTAAGGAAATTACGACCTTTCTGACCAAAATGGTCGCAATGGTTTAAGGTTTGGAGCCCCTCGAACAGCTTTTGACCAATTGGTCTGAAATGGTCATAGATATATGACCAATTCTTCCAGGGTCACTGACAGAAGGTCACTAGTTGACATATTTCTTGTAGTGCGTCGTCCTCCCGCGCACAAACAAGGAAAGGGGGGCGGCCAAAGGCAGGAGCCCAAGGGGGATTCGGCCACCCTTTAGGCGCCTCCAAGCTGCCTCCCCTCTCCCCCCACCTATATATACATAGGAGGGGGTGCCACACAACACCCACGGGAATCTCTTATCCGTGTGCGGCGCCCCTCTCCACAGTTTCGTCCCTCGTTCATATTTTCGTAGTGCTTAGGCGCGCCCTGCGGAGATAGCATCAGCACCACCGTCACCATGCCGTCGTGCTGCCGGAACTCATCCACTACTTTGCCCGTCTTGCTGGATCAAGAACGTGAGGACGTTACCGAGCTGAAATGTGCTGAACGCGGAGGTGTCGTACGTTCGATACTTGATCGGTTGGATCGAGAAGAAGTCCGACTACATCAACCGTGTTAATAAACGCCTCCGCTTACGGTCTATGAGGGTACGTAGACATACTCTCCCCTCTCGTTGCTATGCATCTCCATGGATAGATCTTGTGTCCGCGTAGATTTTTTTTGTTTTTCATGCAACGTTTCCCAATAGTGGCATCCGATTGTTTCGATCAGATTGGATTTGGCGAATGGAAAAGGAATGACTAGTGGACCCTATACATATATGGTTTTGCCCAACTGATTATATATTTAAAAGATCTTATATCTTCTTTACTATTAAAGGGGGGTCGAACATCGTGATGGTTCGACCTCCTCCTACTATCGCTGTCTCCCCTCGTACGATGCCCCAAGGAAAAAAACAGCGATGAAAGACCCACAAAACTTCCTTCGATTATGACCCACGAACCCACAAACTCGGGCATCCCAACACGCGAGCTCATCCAATCCAATCCGACCTCACGCCCTCGCACCCCCTTCTTTCTATCCGCCTCCCGTCCCCAGGTTGCTATTCCCATCGTGGCGCATCCCCCATCACTAGCCGAGCCACATCCCCAACCCAGCACCGCCAGCCGGCGATACCGCTCTCACACGGTTGCCTTTCCTTCCTTCTCGTCGCACTGCAGTGCGATGCGTTGCCATCCATCGCCTACGTCCACTCTCATGGGCGCGTCCCCGTCGCCCCCGCACGTCGGGTCGGGAAGAACTTCTTCCCTTGGTTGGCATCGATAATGGTAGGAGCGCGACAAGGTCGACAGCGCTGCGAATGTGGGGGGTGCTCGCGATGGGCGCCTCCACGAGAGCTATTCTCCAAGTATGTGATTCCTGTTCTGGATCGGTAGTTGTTCATGTGTTTGGTATGACCACGTTTTGGTGATTCAGCGCCCAGTACAATAATGTCCTAGCACGCCTCCGCTGGCAGATCCGACACCGGTGGCCGTCATCCACTACTAGGGAAAAGCTTATACACAGAAGCTTACCAGTAGCATTGGTCAAAAATATGCGCTACTGCTATATACCAGTAGCGTCGTGTACAAAAGCTCGCTACTACTATATAATTAGTAGTAGCGTGGCCCAGACAAAAAAGCGCTACTACTATAACTGCCACAACGTTGCCTGTAGGATAGGTATAGTAGTAGCGCTTGTCTGCAACCCTAGTAGTAGCGCTTTTTGTCTGGGCCTCCCTACTACTAATTATACTCTATCCTACAGTAAGAACCAGTTTATTTTTATTTATAGTAAGTGCTTAGTTGAACTAGTTGAATTAATAGAACTAGTTTATTTTTAGTAAGAAAATTAATAGAACCAGTTTATTTTTAGGTGTATTTAACATAATTCTAGGTTGATTTGTTTTAAAGTGGACATGTCATATTTTGAACATGTCTCATTTGTTGTTATTTTTTTAGTTAAAGCATTTATTCCCGCATCAACGTCGACGATGCCTATCCCGCATCCTCGTCGTCGACTCGGCGGAGGAGGTTTGCTTGATCAGAGGGTCAATGTCCGGGACTAGGCTCCACCGGGCTAGTACTGGGAGGTGCTACCT